GAGGTCAGGAGTTCAAGACCAGCCTAACCAACATGGTGAAACCCCATCTCTACTAAAAATACAAAAATTAGCAGGGCATGGTGGCACGCACCTTTAGTCCCAGCTACCCAGGAGGCTGAGGCAGGAGGATTGCTTGAACCTGGAAGATGGAGGTTGCAGTGAGCCGATATTGTGCCATTGCACTTCAGCCTTGGCAACAGAGTGAGACTCTGTCTCAAAAAAAAAAAAAAAAAAAAAAAGAGGCTACTCACAGGGTCTCGGTTACCTCTTAGTGTTATGTTCATCTGGATTCCAATATCACCAGAAGATGTGACTTAATATTTACTTATGTATGCTGTCCAAAAAAGGAAAAAACAAACAAAAAAAGAATTTACTTAATATATAACATCAGACATGTAAAGACTTATAAGAATACTTTTCACTGAGCAGTAAGAGCTCTTTCATTTTTTTTTTTTTTTTTTTTTTTTCCAAAGATGGGGTTTCACCATGATGGCCAGCCTGGTCTTGAACTCCTGACCTGAGATGATCCACCCACCTTGGCCTCCCAAAGTGCTAGGATTACAGGCGTGAGCCACCACACCCGGCCTGAGCTCTTTCATTTTTATTTTATTTTTTTTGAGATAGAGTCTTGCTCTGCCATCCAGGCTGGAGTGCAGAGGCACAATCTCAGCTCACTGCAACCTCAGCCTCCCAGGTTCAAGTGATTCTCCTGCCTCAGCCTCCCGAGTAGCTGAGATTGTAGGTGCCCATCACCACACCTGGCTAATTTTTTAAAATTTATTTTTATTTTTTTTTTAATTTTAGAGATGGGATTTCACCATGTTGGCCAGGCTTATCTCAAACTCCTGACCTCAAGTGATCTGCCTGCCTCGGCCTCCCAGAGTGCTGGGATTACAGGTGTGAGGCACCATGCCCAGCCTCTATGATGCCTTCTCATCACCACGCTGGTTCATTTCCACAGCGTGCTGGAGGTAGCTGGTATCTGCTCCTGAGCACGGACTGTGCGTTTCTCTTCCAATTCCATGTTCAGTGACCTGCACTTTGATAGCCCAAATCTTATTTTTATGTATTTTTGTTTTCATTCTTTTGGTAGCCTGAATTTTAACATGTTGGGAGTATTTCACCATGAAAATTGGCAAATGCCACAAACCAGGCACCCTCCAGAGCTGGCTGTTAAATACTGACCAGCATATATATCAGTGTTGGCTCGCTGCCCCCAGTCATTCTCCTACTGGCTTAGTTCCTTGCCTGCTGTTAGAGCAGAGTAGAGGCTGAGAAGTCAGGGAGTTAAACATTTGGACTGGGATACGGAATCCTCTGTGCAGCTCTTGAACAAGTTATATAGCCTCTCTAATACCCAGCTTCCTACTTTGTAAAGTGGAGTTGATATACACCCTCCTTGGGGTTGTGAAGATGAAATGAAATGATGTATGGTGCCTGGTGGGTACAGTCAATGCTCAGTAAGCAGAATTTATTAGGTCAGTTTTTTTTTTTTTTTGGCTAGTATTGATAGTCATTCATTCAACAATACATATGGAATGGCTATTTGTCAAGTGCTTTTGGTTCCACCTGTATGGTTTTATTAATTTATTTTAATTTTAGTATCAAGTATTCTGAGCTTCCCTTCACCTGTATGGTCTTCAAAAAAAAATCGTTTATTTATTTATTTATTTTTGAGACAGGGTCTCACTCTGTCACCTAGGCTGGAGGGTAGTGGCATGAGCTCGGCTCACTGCAACCTCCACCTACTGGGCTCAAGTGATCTTCCCACCTTAGCCTCCGGAGTAGCTGGGACTACAGGTACGTGCCACCATGCCTGGCTAATTTTTGTGTTATTTATTTATTTCTTGAGACCGAGTCTGGAGTGTCTTGTCCCCGAGGCTGGAGTGCAGTGGCGCCATCTTGGCTCACTGCAACCTCTGTCTCCCGGGTTCAAGCGATTCTCCTGCCTCAGGCTTCCGAGTAGCTGGGATTGCAGGCATGCACCACCATGCCTGGCTAATTTTGGTATTTTAGTAGAGATGCAGTTTCACCATGTTGGCCAGGCTGGTCTTGAACTGCTAACCTCAAGTGATCTACCCGCCTTGGCCTCCCAAAGCGCTGGGATTATAGGCATGGGCCACTGCACCCAGCCAATTTTTGTATTTTTTTGTAGAGACAGGGTTTCACCATGTTGCCTAGGCTGGTTTTGAACTCCTGAACTCAAGTGATCCACCCTCCTCAGCCTCCCAAAGTGCTGCGATTATGGGTATGAGCTACCATGCCTGGCCTCCACCCATATGATTTTAAATGTACAGATAAGCAAGAATGAAACACCACCCTGGAATTCTGAGTTTTCTGATCACCTATTTGATGTCATGTGGACTCTACACCTGGGCCTTTGACATAGTCTCAACTTGCCATCAGTAGACAGGATCCCAGGTCTGGTCTCCTCTTCTGTCAGAGTATCTAGAGCACCTTCATCCTCTACCTTCCTATCTTTCTAAATACCCTCCTCATGCTTTCATTGCCTTCCCTTTCTCCTCAAACAGGCAAAGAACCTTCTTTCAAGCGCACCTCCTCTGTGTTTGCTCCCATGCCTGGGATGTGGCTGTCTGAGGTTGAGAGTTATTCTCAGACCTGTGTAACAAGAACTCTAGGATGAGTCACCTGGTGCCTGCTTTTTTTTTTTTTTTTTTTTTTTTTTTTTTTAATAACCTGAGGCCAAGGCAGGAAGGCCTGATTTCCCTGGCAGAGTTAATTATCTGGCAAAAGTGCTGCCCAGGGTAATGAGCTGCCCTTGCTTTTTTCCCCATTCCTAGTTCCCATTCCTGCCTCCATGCCCATTCAGCATTGTGCTCTAAAGGGCATCTTCCCCTTCAGTATTCCTTTAGCGTGAAAAATGGTTACCATGGGAAAAGTGCTAAATTCTAAACCCTTCAGGTTCTTTTTTTTTTTTTTTTTTTGAGACTGAGTCTTACTGTGTCACCCAGGCTGGAGTACAGTGGTGTGATCTCAGCTCACTGCAAACTTCGCCTCCTGGGTTCAAGTGATTCTCCTGCCTCAGCCTCCTGAGTAGCTGGGATTACAAGCACCAACTACCATGCCCAGCTAGTTTTTGTATTTTTAGTAGAAACAGGGTTTCACCATGTTGGCCAGGCTGGTCTTGAACTCCTGAGCTCAGGTTATCTTCCTGCCTCAGCCTCACAAAGTGCTGGAATTATAGGTGTGAGCCACTATACCCAGCCTGAATTCTAAACCCTTCAGGTTCTTGCAAGTATCAGTGATGTTGAGATTGAATTAATTTGGAATAAAGGCATTCGTTGTAAGGGAGGCTATTAACTTCTTCTTTTCTTTCTTTCTTTCTTTTTTTTTTTGAGATGAAGTCTGGGTCTGTTGCCCAGGCCAGTGTAATGGTACGATCTTGGCTCACTGCAACTTCCATATCCTGGGTTCACGCGATTCTCCTGCCTCAGCCTCCTGAGTAGCTGGGATTGCAGGTGCCTGCCACCATGCTCAACTAATTTTTATATTTTTTAATAGAGACAGGGTTTCACTATGTTGGTCAGGCTGGTCTCGAACTTCTGGCCTCAAGTGATCCCCCTGCCTTGGCCTCCCAAAGTGCTGGGATTACAGGCGTAAGCCACCACGCCTGGCTCTATTAACTTCTTTATACTCCAGTTTAATTATGAAGTATTCACAAAACTTAAAAAGTTCCTGCTTTCTGCATACACAGGCTCCTTGTGGAATTCTTCAAACACTTAGAAGTGCATCATTGTCAACGTAATCAGTTTTTCATTACTTAAATTTCAGAGCTGTTTACAGATGTAGAAACACTCAAAATGGGTACACATTGTTTCATGTCAGCAGCTCTTTCGCCATCAGTTTTAAAGTGGGAAAGTTGCTATGTGAGCAGCCTGAAAATGAAAAACAAGTTAAAACTCGGCACTAATAGAAAATAGAACATGTTGGCCAGACGTGGTGGCTCACACCAGTACTTTGGGAGGTTGAGGCAAGAGGATTCCTTGAGCTCAGGACTTCAAAACCAGCCTGGGTAACAGCAAAACCCTGTCTCTAAAAAAATAAAAAAATAGCAATTAAAAAAAAAGAACATGTCAAACAGTATTTTCCAGCTCATCTAATTAATTGAAAGAATATACCTGAAAAATGTTTTACAGAAACATTTTTGTTAAGATAATTTACCACAATTAATATACCCTAGATACCTTATTATTTCCATAAAGTACTCCTAGAGATCAGTAATATTCCTCAGCTTTTTATCATAATATTTTCAGCAGATAATAAAATCTCAGTTATTAGAAAATAAGGTGATGTGTTTATATAACATCCGAATATTAGAATTTTCAAACATGATTTTATTTTATTTTGAGACGAAGCCTCTCTTTGTTGCCCAGGCTGGAATGTAGTGGTGCCATCTCAGCTCACTATAACCTCCGCTTCCCAAGTTCAAGCTATTTTCCTATCTCAGCCTCTGGAGTAGCTGGGACTACAGGCACCTGCCACCATGCCTGGCTAATTTTTGTATTTTTTTTAGTAGAAGTGGGGTTTTACCATGTTGGCCAAGCTGGTCTCGAACTCCTGACCTCAGGTGATCCTCCCACCTCGGCCTCCCAAAGTGCTGGAATTACAGGTGTGAGCCACCACTCCTGGCTTCAAACATGATTTTAGGTCAGTTTTTTTTTTCAAGGTAGTCACAATTTACCACTGAGAATGAACGCATATCAAGGTTAGTGGATTTGATCATTTGAGAAATGGCAACATCATTCAATTTAAACATTTTCTGACTTTTTGCTATGGCATCTGTCATGGGATAAAAATAAATTTTAGATTTTTTAGAGCCAAAATGAAAATACTTTAGAACAAAATCAGGCCAAATCTTTGTAATTCAAAGTGGCTGAACACCTAAAAGAAACTCGATATAAAACTTGCCAATTACATGTCTTCTCAGAGATCTAGACTGAATTTATCTCAATAATTTGGATATTTCTTCTCTTTGCCAGTGATACAGGAACAACACCTCCAGAGAGTGGTATTTTTGGATTTATGATAAACTTCTCTGCATTTCTTGGTAAGTACACAATAATTATTATAAATAATTGAAAAGATCACAATTCCAAGTGAAGTCAGATGTGTTATTTTTAGTTTGTGTATAATTTTTATTTTATTTTATTTTATTTATTTTTTCTGAGACAAGGTCTCTGTTGTTCAGTCTGGAGTGCAGTGGTGTGATCACAGCTCACCACAGCCTAGACCTCTCGGGCTCAGGCAATCCTCCCACCCCCAGAATAGCTGGTACTACAGGCATACACCACCATGCCTAGCTAATTTTTTTGTGTTTTTTATAGAGATGGGGTTTTGCCATGTTGCCAGGCTGGCCTTAAACTCCTACGTTTAAGTAATCCACCTGCTTTGGCCTCTCAAAGTGCTGAAATTATAGGTGTGAGCCACTGCACACGGCCTTATGTAAAATTTTTAAAAAACACAACCTTTGCAGCTAGATTTTTGTGCTATTTTGAGAAACCGAAGTGAAAGGATATCCAAAATTATGGCTTTATTAGAGAACTATACTTTATTTAGTAATTTGTGACAGGATTTGCTGTAGGTGGTTTTAAATACCAAACTTCTGGAATGGATTTTAAGTGCAATTTGGTTTTTAAAAATGTTGATTTATATTCAAGACATTTACGTAAACCAAAGACACCAATGCGTAAGCTAAGTTTCTCAAAGTGTAGTCTGAAGGCAACTGGACGCCACACTACTCAACCAGAACCTTTGGGAGTGTGGGTTCATGAATATGCATTGTAAACAAGCACTCTAGGGGACTTGGATTCTCACTAAGTTTGAGAACCATTGACAAAGGCGTTATCTCACCTGTTAGAGAAAGGGGAAAGGTGAAGCAAGAAATAGTATGATTTTTCTTTTCAATTCCTCAGATGTACCTGAGATGCAGTTGATAGGATACAACCTCATCATGAGCCAATGAATGTAATACACAGTAATTACAACTATTGCACAATTAATGTAAGGCTCAGTCATTTTTTTTTTTTTTTTTTTTTTGAGACGGAGTTTCGCTCTTGTTACCCAGGCTCGGGTGCAATGGCGCGATCTCAGCTCACCGCAACTTCTGCCTTCTGGGTTCAGGCAATTCTCCTGCCTCAGCCTCCTGAGTAGCTGGGATTGCAGGCACGCGCCACCACGCCCAGCTAATGTTTTGTATTTTTAATAGAGACGGGGTTTCACCATGTTGACCGGGATGGTCTCGATATCTTGACCTCGTGATCCACCCCCCTCAGCCTCCCAAAGTGCTGGGATTACAGGCTTGAGCCACCGCACCTGGCAGGCTCAGTCTTTTATAAGGTGATCCAAGTATATAGATGTTAGATGCAGGGCTTGTTCTCTTAGTCCTGCTGTAATCTACCCCCATGGAACAATCATGTGTTTGCCAAGGGCCTATCGTGTAACTAGCACTTTCTGTTCCTCTCTAGTGGTACAGTGTGGGAAGGGACAGTGATGCTGACCCTGCTTAGTGACTTGGCATCTTTAGAATTTGTTTGTCCTACTTGGTAGCGGGAAAGTTTCACCGCATCACCCATTTGTAGTCCTCCTTTTGGAGGTGAGCAAGGGGAAGTAGCAATATGGAGTCTGTCGATCCTAGTGCCCTCTTATGCCATGCTTGCCAAGAATCCAGACTTGGAAAACAGAGAGATTATTATATCACAGCAAGTGATAAATATGGCATTTGCTTCTGAATAAAGCAGAAAGTGACATAAATATATTCATTTAAAATAGTCTGTGTGAGCTAGGTGCAGTGGCTCATGCCTGTAATTCTAGCATTTTGGGAGGCTGAAACAGGAGGATCTATTGAGCCCAAGAGTTCAAGACCAGCCTGGGCAATGTAGTGAGACCCCATCTTGACAAAAAATTACAAAGAAAGAGAAAGAGAGACAGAAAGAGAGAAAGAAAGAGAAAGAAAGTAGTGAGATCCCATCTTTACAAAAAATTAAAAAGAGAGAGAAAGAGAAAGAAAGAAGAAAGAAGAAATAAATTAGCTGGGTGTGGTGATATGTGCCTATAGTCCCAAGTAGTCCCAATGTGTGCCTATAGTCTCAATGCAGTGAGATCCCATCTTTACAAAAAATTAAAAAGACAGAGAGAAAGAGAAAGAAAGAAAAGAAAGAAGGAAGAAATTAGTTGGGTGTGGTGATGTGTGCCTATAGTCCCAACTGCTTGGAGGGTAAGGTGAAAGGATTGCCTGAGCCCAGGAGGTCAAGGCTGCAGCAAGCCATGATTGTGCCACTACACTCCCACCCAGGTAACAGAGCGAGAACCTGCCGCCAAAAGAAAAAAAAAATGCTTATGATAAGCTGTTCGTTTTTAGATTGCTTTTTAAAAATTCAGGCATATACTATGGCCACCATACTTGTCAGTGTATACACATCTACTTTATACTTTCCATGCATGCATGATATCCTTTGCAAGGATGTATTATGATTTATTTAATTAGTCCCCTATTGTTCAACATTTAGGCTATTTCTGGTATTTTGTAGTTACAATGTTGAAGTGAACATTTTAAAAATATATCTGCATATTTGTGTTTTTCTATAAATTTGCTGAGTTAAAGGGAATACATATACAAAATTATAATAACTATTCATTTATTCAACATTTACTAAGTACGTACTATATGGTAGGCTTTGTGCCTGTTTATGCTTAGTGTTGAGGTCACAACAGCAAACAAAACAGACAAGACCTCTGCTCTCATGGAAGCTACATTTTATTGCAAAATTACAACAAATGGTATTTGGTTAATTGGCTAGCTGTTTGGAAAAAAACACCTTTATTATCTTCCTCAAATCATACACAAGAACCAATTGCAGTTTAATAAACATGAAAAGCAAAACTATGTGATAATTAAATTACAGGAGACTATTTTTAAACCTTGGAATAGAAACTTACACAAAACCCAGAAGCATGGACTGATATGAGTACATAAAAAATTAAAACTTCTAAATGATGGAAAATACAAGAAACATTGTTAAAAGACAAATAGCAGAGCAGAAGAAAATGTGCAATATTTATAGCAGACAATAGACTAATGGACATAGTGTGTAAAAAGTAACTACAAATTAGAAATCGACAAGCCCAAGAGAAAAATAAAAAGAAAATTATAAACATGCATTTCTCAGAAGAAGAAATGCAAATGACCAGTAGATATACTGAAAATTGCTAAATCTCACTAATCATCAGGGAAATGCAAATTAAACCAACAGGTTGCATCTTTCATTTATTAGATTGAAAGTAATTAAAAAGGCAAGGGCATACAATATTGCTCTCAAATTCTGCCAGTGGGAGTCTAAATTGTTAACTGTCTTTGGAGCAATTTGGAGGTGTTTCTAAGCGTTTTAATTGTGCATGTTCTTTTGACCCAGTAATATTGCTTCTAGGTGTCTTTCAGAAACACCTGAATGTGTGCCCAAAGATTTATATAAGAGGATATTCATTGAATGTTGTTTGTAGCAGGAAAAATGTGGAAACAATGTAGAAATTCATTTTTAAGAGAATGATGAAATAAATACAGTGTCTCCTACCGTAGACCATCATGAGACCCCTGAAAACAATGAAGTAGATCTGTTTGTAGTTACATGAAAAGATCTCTACGCTACATTGTTAAGCAGAAAAAGCAAGTCACTGAATAATGCATGCAGTATAATAGCATCTACATGGAAAGGACAGCAGCCAAGATGTGTGTGTGTGTGTGTGTGTGTGTGTGTGTGTGTGTGTGTGTGTGTCTATGCTGGGGAGAAAGTAAGTTGGAGTCAGGAGGGACAGGGGTGGGAAAGTGGGGAGACTTGCAATCAGTACACGTGATAAGGAGTGCTTCTGTTTTTCATTCTAAAGAAATCAAATTACGAACATTCATCAAAGTGCTCTTCTTTTTCAGGTGCAGCCACGATGTATACACGATATAAAATAGTAGAGAAGCAGAATCAAACCTACTATTTCAGCACTCCTGTTTTTAACTTGGTGTCTTTAGTTCTTGGATTGGTGGGATGTATTGGAATGGGCATCGTCGCCAATTTTCAGGTATAAGCTGGAGCTTTTTCAGTTATGAGGAGCAGTGGAGTGCATGTGTCTGAGGAGAGTAGCAGGAATGCAAGAGGCACACTATGCTATTATAGCAATTAAATGCTTGATGAGTTTACAATAAGTGGGTTAGTCCACTTTTTAAAAACAAACTTTTAACATTTAAAAGTCAGGGCCAGGCCAGTGGCTCACACCTATAATCCCAGCACTTTGGAAAGCCAAGGTAGGCGGATCCTGAGGTCAGGAGTTCAAGACCAGTCAGGCCAACATGGTGAAACCTGGTCTCTGCTAAGAATACAACATTAGCTGAGCACAGTGGCACGCACCTGTAATCCCAGCTACTCAGGAGGCTGAGGCAGGAGAATTGCTTGAACACAGGAGGTTGCAGTGAGCTGAGATTGTGCCATTTGCACTCCAGCCTGGGCAACAGAGCAAGACTCCATCTCAAAATAAACAAAATTTGAAAGTCAATTCTGTACTTGGGAGAAATGGGGTGTACATGTGCATAATTATGAGAGAGTTATGTGTGATTCAGAGGAGGCCTTGGGCTTTGCATTGCCCCCTGTTCTCGTCGATGTGGTTTGATGTATTGGGGAGGCTACCTCAGCTACTGTGATGATTTTGTTAAGAGTGTGAAAATATTTGCATATGTTTACCAATTCTTCCATTTAAACTTCTGGTGTTCAAAGAGGAGGCTCTTGGTGACATGTCCTTATCTTTTACGACAGTATGCATTTTGTTTTTCATAACAACAAACATTTATTGAAATTTTCCTGTGACACATGCTTATGAAAATATCCCATATTTTAATTCATACAATTATAGTAAAAGCCTTGTAAGATATACACTATTATTTTCCCTATTTATCCATGGCGAAACGGAGGCCCAGAGAGGTTAATACTTGCCCAAGATGAGATAAGTAATGCATGGCAAAGGTGGGTTTTTGTTTTTTGAAATGGCGACTTGCTCTTGTCACCCAGGCTGCAGTGCAATGGCACAGTCTTGGCTCCCTGCAACCTCCACCTCCCAGGTTCAAGCGATTCTCCTGCCTCAACCTCCCGAGTAGCTGAGATTACAGGCGCCTGCCACCACACCTGGCTAATTTTTGTATTTTTTTAGTAGAGATGGGGTTTTGCCATGTTGGCCAGACTGTTCTTGATCTCCTGACCTCGTGATCTGCCCACCTCAGCCTCCCAAAGTGAGCCACCACGCCTGGCCCAGAGGTGGCCTTGAATGGAAGTCATCTTCCTAGAGCCTGTGAGCGATATCTTCAATGCCAAAATGGGGAAATACCTGTGACCAAAAAAAATCAAGTACACAATGCACAGTTCTACCATCAGGAAGCACACACACACACACACACACACACACACACACACACTCCAAAAAGGAAGACCTGGAATGATATAATTTGTCTAGTGCAGTGTGGTTATGGTTTAATGGGGGCTAGTATAGATATATCATTTTATCCTCTGAATAACAACATCATAAGACATACGGATGTCAGGTTTTTTTTTTTTTTTTTTTTTTTTTTTTTTTTTTTTTGAGACGCTCTTGTTACCCAGGCTGGAGTGCAATGGCGTGATCTCGGCTCACGGCAACCTCGGCTTCCTGGGTTCAGGCAATTCTCCTGTCTAAGCCTCCTGAGTAGTTGGGATTACAGGCACGCGCCACCATGCCCAGCTAATTTTTTGTATTTTTAGTAGAGACGGGGTTTCACCTTGTTGAACAGCATGGTCTCAATCTCTTGACCTCGTGATCCACCCGCCTCAGCCATCCCGCCTGGCCAGGCTTGAGCCACCGCGCCCAGCCGGATGTCAGTTTTTAAACCGTTAAAGGGCAGACTTTAAGAAGAAAACGTAGATGCTTAAATAATTTCAACTTTTGGTTCTCCTTAAGTCTTCAATGACGTGATTAAATCTTCACACAAACTAGAAATAGAATCTTAACTTACCAAGGAGCAAAGTGTTTGACTTGTCATTGTTCTGATAACTGTATCTTTACCACTTCCTTGTTCAGTGTGCTGTAATTCATCTTTGTCTTGCCAGGAGCAAACCAACTTGAGTTGTTAACTCAAGAAGATTTTGAGATGTGAGGGCAAGAGAGGGTATGACTGACTCTGGTGGTTTTTCTTTTTTTTGTAGAGACAGAGTCTTGCTCTGTCCCCTAGGCTAGAGTGTAGTGGTGCGATCTCAGCTTACTGCAACCTCCTCCCTGGGTTCAAGAGATTCTCCTGCCTCAGCCTCCTGAGTAGCTGGGATTATAGGTGCCCGCTAACATGCCTGGCTAATTTCTGTATTTTTTAGTAGAGACAGCATTTTGCCCTGTTGTCCAGGCATGTCTTGAACTCCTGACCTCAGGTGATCTGCCCCTCCGCCCACCCCCCCAGCCTCCGGAAGTGTTGGGAGGCATGAGCCATTGTCCCTGGCCTATAAACAATTATTATTTGTCAGTTAAAAATAAAACTTTTTAAAGTTTCCTTTTGAGAAAAGAAAATTTCTGAGGTTTAACCTTATCAGTATTCACATATTCTTTTTTGTTGTTACTACCTTTTAAATTAACAAGAGTTTCTAAAAAGCAGTCCAAAAAGAGTGCCAGGTTTTAACTTTATCAAAAATTCATGTCTGATGTAAAAATCATTTCCCTGCTTTTTTGATTGACTGATTGATTGATTGATTGGCTGATAAACAGTCTCGATCTGTTACCTAGGTTGGAGTGCGACAGCACAATCATGGCTCACTGTAACCTTGAACTCTTAGGCTCAACCTTGAACTCCTTCTGTCTCAGTCTCTTGAGTAGCTGAGACTACAGGTGCACTACCACACCCAGCTAATTTTTATTTTTACTTTTGTAAAGATGGGGTCTTGCTATCTTTCTGAGGCTGGTCTTAAACTCCTGGCCTCATGTGATCCTCCCATCTCTGCCTCCCAAAGTGTTGGAATTACAAACACAAGCCACCATGCCCTGTCCTATTTTATTTTGCATGTATAACTTACTTGAATCTATATGGCCATGCTAGGAATCTTATTTATTTATTTGTATTTGTATTTTTATCTTCATTTTTTGAGAAAGCCTCTTGATCTGTTGCCCAGGCTGGAGTGCAATCATGGCTTACTTCATCTCTGCCTTGTGGGCTCAAGCAATCCTCTCACCTCAGCCTCCTGAGTAGCTGAAACTACAGGTGCATGCCACCACAGCCAGCTAATTTATATATTTTTAGTAGAGACTGTCTTGCCATGTTGCCCAGGTTGGTCTTGAACTCCTGAGCTCAAGTGATATAGCTGCCTTGGCCTCCCAAAGTGATAAGATAACAGGCATAAGCCACTGTGCCCAGTCTTTAATTTATTTTAATTTTATTTTTTGAGTGAGGATCTCTCACTGTGTTGCCCAGGCTAAAGTACAGTGGTGCTATCATAGCTCACTGCAGACTTGGTCTCCCGAACTCAAGTGATTCTCCCACCTCAGCCTCCCAAGTAGCTGGGACTACAGGCACGCACCATCATGCCCAGCTGATTTATTTATTTATTTGAGACGGTGGGTGTCTCGCTCTGTTACCCAGACTGGAGAGCAGTGGCACGATCTGAGCTCACTGCAGTCTCCACCTCCCAGGTTCTAGCAATTCTCCTGCCTTAGCCTCCCAGGTAGCTGGGATTACAGGCACATGCCACCATGTCTGGCTAATTTTTGTATTTTTAGTAGAGATGAGGTTTCACCATGTTGCCCAGACTGGTCTCGAACTCCTGACCTCGTAATCCACCTGCGTTGGCCTCTGAAAGTGCTGGGATTACAAGCATTAGCTACCGCACCCGGCCATGATTTTTAAAATTTTAGTGGAGATGAGTACTTGCTGTGTTGCCCAAGCTGCTCTCAAACTCCTGAGCTCAAGCAGTCCTCCAGCCTCGGTCTCCCAAAGTGCTGGGATTACAGGCTTGAACCACAGCACCCGGCCCATGCTAGGTATCTTAGGTATACAGAAACTAAACGATGTGTTGCAGAGTGTCCATGTGGTCATATTTGAATGTCACAGAAATCATGTAATGAATTTCTCCCCTATTGCTAGGTTTGATACTTGGAAATATATTTCCTTAGAAATAAGTTAAAAGGTCTTTTTTCTGCATCTTCCTTTCTTATGTGGAGAACGAAAATTTAATATCGGTTCATTTGTGCTCCAGGTTGAGGCTGAACTGTTTGGATGGCAAACACTGTGGTGCTGGGGGAGCCAAGGTGGCCTAGGTCAGAGGAAAGCTGGGGGAAGAGCGTGTTCATGGTGAGCTGGGGCCAAAGGGTGCTGTGGCCAGAACTAGGCTCTCCTGCACGACTCTTTAACTTGCCCTTTGCAAAGCTTGCATTTTCAAGTTTAAGCCGAGACCCAGTGGTTCCATCTAAATGTCCTTCTACTGGAAGGATGGTGCCCAGTGCACACTTGAAGGAGCTGAGGCCAGGCACGGAGGCTCATGCCTATAATCCCAGCACTTTGGAAGGCTGAGGTGGGTAGATCACCTGAGGTCAGAAGTTCGAGACCAGCCTGGCCAACATGGAGAAACCTTATCTCTAAGAAAAATTATCTGAGCATGGTGGTGCATGCCTATAATCCCAGGTATTCTGGAGGCTGGGGCAAAAGAATTGCTTGGACCAGGAGATGGAGGTTGCAACAAGCCAAGATCTTGCCATTGCACTCCAGCCTGGGCAACAGAGTGAGAGTCTGTCTCAAACAAAAACAAAACAAACCAAAAAAACAACAAAAAGAGAAAGGAGCTGAAGGTGAGGTGCCTGGCTGGGTATTCTGAGTGTATACAGGATCTGCTCCAACTTTTTCCTAGACTGGCATAAGGGGCTGCCTTCTAGTTGAAATGGCTGGTTACAGGATGGTGGGGGACAGGGAACTTGTTTAGAAGGTGCCTTTGAAAAAAAAAATTAGCCAAAACTGGGCATGGTAGCATGTGCCTGTAGTCCCAGCTACTTGAGAGGCTAAGGTGAAAGGATCCCTTGAGCCTAGGAGTTCAAGGCTGCAGTGAGCTATGATCACGCCACTGCACTCCCACCTGGGCAACAGAGTGAGACTCTGTCTCAAAAAAACCCCAAAAAACAAAGAAAAGAAAAAGAAGAAAGTCCTTTTGCAGTGGTTTTACTTAGATGATGTGTTCATTTGGGGTGCCTTGGGATGAACGAGTAGGGATTATCAGGGAGCAGGGAGCCTAAAAACCCCAGACCACCCTTGGCACCATCATGGAATGAGTCATGTACTTTATTATTATTTTTTCAATCATATCATACCAAAGTTTATTGATGACATCAAATGAAAATTTCTGTAATGAAAAAGGCAAGTTGAAGTCATAAAAGATGGGATTCACATTCATTTTAGAAAGCAACAACGTAGATGTAAAGAAATTGCTTAAGTGAAAAATGTAGTATTGCAGTTCCAGTTTGCAAGCTGAAAAATGATTTTGTCAACACACATAAAATCTGCACATTTATATGCTGCGTGTTATTAGAAAATTCCACCCCTCAATTATTATGAATTTTGCAAAGTTGGGCTTACAATTATACTGTTGCTGATGTATATGTAGTAGATACGGAATGAATGTTTTCAGTTTAGTAGATACATTCTCAAACAATGAGTAGGTTGTGAAAATTACAAAGACATTTTGATAGCTCAAAATTATTCAAATTATAAATATATGATCCCATTATTACATTTTTTGAGTCATATACTTTTATAAAATTTTTTTATATGGGCCTGGCGCAGTGGCTCGTGCCTGTAATCCCAGCGCTTTGGGAGGCCAAGACCAGCAGATCACCTGTGGTCAAGAGTTCTCTACTAACAATATAAAAATTAGCTGGGATGGTGGCACGTGCCTGCAATCCTAGCTACTCTGGAGGCCGAGGCAGGAGAATCTCTTGGACCTGGGCGGCAAAGGTTGCAATGAGCAGTGTCACTGCACTCCAGCCTGGGCAACAAAAGTGAAACTCTGTCTAAAAAAAAAAAAAAAAAAAAAAACAGAAAATGTTATATGATGTGTATCCTATAATCTTCACTGCAAACATGCAAGAGGGAGATGATTATGCCCATTTTTAGATACAGAAATCAAGGCTTTGCACTGAGGTCACAGAGCCTCATGGTGGAGTCAGGACTTTTTTTTTTTTTTTTTTTGAGACGGAGTTTCGCTCTTGTTACCCAGGCTGGAGTGCAATGGCGCGATCTCGGCTCACCGCAACCTCCGCCTCCTGGGTTCAGGCAATTCTCCTGCCTCAGCCTCCTGAGTAGCTGGGATTACAGGCACGCACCACCATGCCCAGCTAATTTTTTGTATTTTTAGTAGAGACGGGGTTTCACCATGTTGACCGGGATGGTCTCGATCTCTCGACCTCGTGATCCACCCGCCTCGGCCTCCCAAAGTGCTGGGATTACAGGGTTGAGCCACCGCGCCTGGTCTGAGTCAGGACTTTTAACCCAGACGTGCCAGGCTCTGAAGCCCACCACCCTCAGCACTTCCACCTCTAAGGCAGGCCTCCTCCTTTCCTTATCCCATGAGTCCAGGTTCGCTGTGGAGCAACCAACTTTTTAGCATTCATTCTAGCACCTGGAAGGCTTTTCTTCTGGAGGTCGAACAGCCACATTTTCCAAGGAGCGCTGCGTCTGTGATGACCAATGGCTCAAAGCAGCCTAGAGTGAGTGAGTGCTCGCAGCTCGGCATTGACAGACTCACCCTGAGTAACGCACATTGGTGATTTTTTCTCCAGGAGTTAGCTGTGCCAGTGGTTCATGACGGGGGCGCCCTTTTGGCTTTTGTCTGCGGTGTCATATACACGCTCCTACAGTCTGTCATATCTTACAAATCCTGTCCCCAGTGGAACAGTCTCTCGACGTGCCACGTACGGATGGCCATCTCTGCTGTTTCTTGCGCAGCTGTCGTCCCCAGTATCCTTTTTCACGTTTGTGGCTTGTTAAAGGAATAAAGCATTCAATGACACTTGTTAAAGAAAGGGAAGGAAGACTTTATGGGGACCACTGCAATGGGGTCTGACACTTGGGCAGAGAGATTGGGCTCAGTTCTGAATACAGCACTGGCAAGTGCGAATTTATAGCCAAGGAGTAGGATGAGGTCAGCGGGTGGAAAAGTACTAAAAGGAAACCTCAAGGATAATGGGAATTCGGGCCAAACCAACCTAACAGGATTCTTGCTGAGTACTGGCCATGTGATCAGACATCACCTGGGAAGTGTGGAGGAGGAGGAACCCAATCAGATACCAAGGGTGATCAGATATCAGGGTGTGGGGTCTTTGCTACACTGACTTAGCCAGCATTCTTTGCTAAAACTGGATCTTACAAGGAAGTGCACAGACGGACCTAGAAGTGTCAGGAGCTTGATTGAAGTTCGGCCAAGCAAAGAATCTTTGTCACAGTGTCTCAGCAAAGCTTGACACTTCCCTTCCCCCCAGCCAAAAAAAAAAAAAAAAAAAAAGATAACAACCAAGTTTCCACATTTTTCAGAAAAACAATGGGGATAAAAGTGTAGATCATTAAGAAAATGTCTCAGCATTGGTTAGATCAAAAGTGTCTTTGGGGGAAAGAATGGTGTGAAAGAAGGTGGGAAAAGGTAAAAGCACTTCAGTCTATTTACTTTCCTTCTCACAGGGCCAGTTTCATGAACCATGTGAAAATATTTATTTTTCTTTGTAGTGCTTGGCTAAAGACACCAAATATTGATATTGTACTCAAAGGAATAGCCGCATGAAGTCCGTCAAGGCTCACCTCTCCCCTTCCCTGCACGTAGGTGGCAAGACAGTTTGATTTACTCGTCCATGTGAAGAGATTTTTAAAAAGCTCTAGGTCACTTATTACTGAGTAAATTAAAATACATTTAGCCTTTTCTTTTTAGTCACTAATTTCGTTTTCAAAATGAAATCCATTTTATTTTCTAACTCAGCCATGTGAAAAGAAATGAAAATATAAATTTAGAATGCTTGTAGATTCCGATTTAGAGGAAATGAAAGCTTTTTATTTCTTTTCCTTTTTCTCTTCTTTAATGAAATATTTAACAAAGGGGGAAAAAAAAGCTGTGGTCTTAAAGAGATGAAGAATTTCCGATCTTTCAAAATACCATCTGTAGTCATATCAGAGAAAGCTGCAGGGTCATTAAAAAAATGATGACTAATGTCAGATTGTAGAAAATCGGAACTATGTTATCAGCAGCAATTTTGTTAGTCTGGGTTGAATTACAGTATAAAGTGAGCAAGGCTGAGTGAAAATACATCACTTGCTTCTAAATATTAAGCTTTGTGTTTCTTTTCTAAAATAGAAACTACAAACTGTGAAGTCTAAGAATGATTTTAGTTTTTCTTCCATCTTAGGGAAGGACATTTTTAATTACAAAATTTCTAAGCACAGAGTAGCCGAATCCTAGAACAGAGACATTTACTACCAAAATATATACCCTTGTTCCTAAGATAGTTGCTTCTCAAATTCCTTGTTCTGTTTATAGATTAAATACACACTTTCTCTTTGAATATATCTCCTTCACATTTTTATCTTGTGTTAGTTGTAAAATTCATAACAGTGGTTGTAGTGTTACAAGTAAAGTTTCTTGATGCAGGAAACCTTTCCTTGCTTCCAACTTTGGAAACAGATCCCCAGGTATCAAAGTCAGAGAGTTTTAGCAAGTAAGCATTTCAGGCCTCAGAGTTTCACTTACTAATAATTCTCATTTCTAGGAACTTCTTTTTTTTTTTTTTTTTTTTTTGAGATGAAGTTTTGCTTTTGTTGCCTAGGCTGGAGTGCAATGGCATGATCTCAGCTCACTGCAGCCTCCACCTCCTGGGTTCAAGCAATTCTCCTGCCTCAGCCTCCCAAGTAGCTGGGATTACAGGCACCTGCCACCACGCCTGGCAAGCTTTGTATTTTTAGTAGAGACAGGGTTTCTCTATGTTGGCCAGGCTGCTCTCAAACTCCTGACCTCAAGTGATCCACTCACCTTGGCCTCCCAAAGTGCTGAGATCACTGGCGTGAGCCACCACATCTGGCCTCTAGGAAGTTCTTATTAGGAGCCATGCCAGTGGGAAGCAGCCCCAGACAGAGAGGGATTATGACCCTATATCAGATTAACTTGAATGAATTAATCTATATGAAAAGGTCTCCTGTCTTAAATGTTAGTGTGTTATTTACATTTCCTTACAAAGAATTGAAAGCATCTTTGAATAGGCCAGGCGGTGGCTTATGCCTGTAATTCCAGCATTTGGGAGGCTATGGTGGGTGGATCACTTGAGGTTAGGAGTTCAAGACCAGCCTGGCCAACATGGTGAAACCCCCATCTGTACTAAAAAGAGAAAAATTAGCTGGGCATGGTGGCAGGCACCTGCCACTGCACTCCAGCCTGGGTGAGAGAGCGAGACTCCGCCTCAAGAATAAATAAGTGAATTAATTAATTAATTAATTAGAATATTAGAAAATTTAAAATTACACATAATATTTCTGTGGGATGGTGTTGCTCTGGAGAGCTCCCTAAACTTCACAACTTAGATTAAGTTTCACTGAATGAAGCTTTTTCCCACTCCATTCTGAATTAATAATTTTCCCTTGGAGTCACTGCTGTACCCAGTTCTTTTCTCTCTAGCATGGTACATTCCCTGGGTCTGGCCCAACAAAATTGTGATGTTTCTGAGAGCTGAGACCAAGTTTTCCCTCCTCCCACCTGCTAGACCAGAATGGTACCTGGTGAACTGAAGATGGAACTAGGAACAAATAAATGAAAGAATTAAGAGGCTTTTAAACTATTAGAAACAGAAGCGTGGTAATTAAATGATCGAAGAGTCTTCTGTGCTCTCTACTTCTTTTATTTTGAGAATCAGAAGTGTTAAACTCTGCACAATTTCACAGGGGGTGCTGGTTAAGAGAGGTGTCACTGACTGAATTCAGAGGAGGCTCTAAACTTTGCTTGGCTTAATTAACACTTTGAATTTCTAATATTTTGTAGACTTTTTAGAGCATCCTATTTCTCTCTAGCTTTCTCTTTTGCATTCTAAGTTCAATCAAAATGGTTATCACTGCCTTTGTGCAGAAAGTATTGCCCGTGGAGGAGAGGAGCCTCAGCCCTTGGCATTATTAGGCTGGACTGTAGGGGTTTGTCGTTCATCCCTGAAGCCTGATACAGGCTTTGATTTGCCAGCTCTTAGGCCGGGAAGGAAAGGCTCACCTTATACCCAATTACCCAACAAACGTCTGTTTTTTTTTTTTTTTTTGAGATGGAGTTTTGCTCTTGTTACCCAGGCTGGAGTGCAATGGCGCGATCTCAGCTCACCACAACCTCCGCCTCCTGGGTTCAGGCAATTCTCCTGCCTCAGCCTCCTGAGTAGCTGGGATCACAGGCACGCGCTACCATGCCCAGCTAATTTTTTTTTTTTTTTTGTATTTTTAGTAGAGACGGGGTTTCACCATGTTGACCAGGATGGTCTCGATCTCTTGACCTCGTGATCCACCCGCCTTGGCCTCCCAAAGTGCTGGTATTACAGGTGTGAGCCACCGCACCCGGCCAAACGTCTGTTTTTTAAAGATAATAGTTTGAGTTTCTGTACCTTGTTTTTGTATATGAGCCCTGGAACTTTGAAATTTTACATTTTTCTTTAAAGCTGTTACCTTGAAAATAGTTTTTTAGATCAGGCATGGTGGCTTACCCCTGTAATTCCAGGACTTTGGGAGGCTGAGGCAGTGGATCACTGGAGGTCAGGAGTTCAAGACCAGCCTGACCACCATGGCAAAACCCTGTCTCTGCTAAAAGTACAAAAAATTAGCCGAGTATGGTGGTGGGCACCTGTAATCTCAACTACTAGGGAGGCTGAGGCAGGACCTCTTGAACGCAGGAGGCAGAGGTTGCAGTGAGCTGAGATCACACAATTGCACTCCAGCCAGGGTGACAGAGCAAGACACCATCTCAAAAAAAAAAAAAAGAAAGAAAATAGTATTTTAGGGTGGGAAGTACTCAAAACAGACCATCTTGGACTGCTACATTAGTCATTTTGACCAAATTCCAAATTGTGGAATTGTTTTCAAAATTTTAACTAGCTGTTTAGCTAAGTTAAAGTGGGAAAATCCAGAAACATGCCAGGTTGTACAAAATGTAGCTGCAAATTTTAATAAATTTTGCTATACAAACTGAAAAAGTATTGCAAAGGTACTTCCATGTTGTAATTTAACTATCATAATTGAATTTAAAATTTGAGGTTATAAGAACCTAATGTAACTGGTTTGACTGTAGAAATGTTGGTATTAATATTTTAACACTGTATAATGATTTTATCATTAGGAGAATAATCTAGTTTTAACATTAAAGGAACTGTTTTCTGCTATAGTTTCCTTAACCTTTTTAAGTGATTGCCTGTGCTTCATTAATTTCCATAACCAAGCTGGAGTGGAATCCAAGAGAAAAGGTAACATTTAAGTTGTTCTGAATGTGGCTGTTGGATGTGGTTGTATGAGATTGTGGCCAGGCTAGGCTTATGGAAGATCACTGCCGTTTTTTAGAACAAGGTACAAAATGTGAAGTAAACATAGTATGTAATCAATTTACTGTCCAATCATTTGGTAGTGTGTACGTAGTAATTAGCTAGCAGAGTAATTCCAAATGCTTCCTGGAATTATTTTCAAAATTTTAAATTGCTAATTTCTTTTCTTTTTTTTTTTTTTTTTGAGACAGAGTCTTGCTCTGTTGCCCAGGCTGGAGTCCAGGGTGCAATCTTGGCTCACTGCAACCTCTGCCTCCCAGGCTCAAGTGATTCTCCTGCCTCAGCCTCCCAGGTAGCTGGGACTAGAGGCGCCCACCACCATGCACAGCTAATTTTTTTTTTTTTTTTTTTTTTAGACAGAGTCTTGCTCTGTCACCCAGACTGGAGTGAAGTGGCATGATCTCAGCTCACTGCAACATTTGCATCCTGGGTTCAAGCGATTCTCATGCCACAGCCTCCTGAATAGCTGGGACCACAGGAGTGCACCACTATGCCTGTCTAATTTAATTTTTTGTATTTTTAGTAGAGCTGAGGTTTTTTAGCATGTTGGCCAGGCTGGTCTGCAGCTCCTGGCCTCAAGTGATCCCCCCACCTCGGCCTCCCAAAGTGCTGGGATTATAGGCGTAAGCCACCGCAACTGGCCCTCTAATTTCTTTCTGAAACATTTCAACTATCTATGCTTAGCAAAAGGGGGTAGAGGGACAGTGTGAATGAAGGTGTTTGGTGGCCAAAGGGAGCGTGGAATGTTAAGTAGAGAGGACAACACCAGCTCCAGCGTGGTGGATAGTTCATTGCAGGATAGAGTGAGAAATCATTGCAGTCAGGGGTAACTGTGCAAGGGAGTAGTGGCTGTAAGAGGCAGGATAGAGCCTGATACTTGACAGAGATGACCAGAGTAAGACTTTGAAGACTTTTGAACAGTTAAGCAGATGGAAAGAGTATTATTAGATGAGTGTTAGGCAGAAGCAATGCCTGGGATGGTTTGGAGAGCTTGGCATTAGGAGGGCCAGGAGAAGGCAGTTCTACTAGTTTGCATTTCAAATAGGGAAAATCTGATGGGTTTTGGCAAATGACTAACACGAGAATGGAGTGGCACGATGAATCAAAGATGACTTTGAGGATTTTGTCTTAGACAAACCAACAAATTTATTCCCTTGACCAGAAATAAGGTCCCTAACAGGGATAAATAACTTAGTAAGTGGAAGTGGATGAGTTTGGTTAGAATTGATGACTCTGTAGATATCATGGTTAGAAACGTGGGCCTTGGCGAGGCGCTGTGGCTTATGCCTGTAATCCCAGCACTTTGGGAGGCTGAAGCAGGAGGATTGCTTGACTCCAGGAGATCAAGACCAGTCAGGGTAACACAGTAAGATCCTGTCTCTACAAAAATTAGCCAGCATGTGGCATGCGCCTGTAGGCCCAGCTACTTGGGAAGCTGAGGTGGGCCTAGACTTCTGGTGGGACTGAGTCATCAGAGGGTAGGGCAGAGTAGTCAGAGAGTAGGGTAGACCAGTAATTTTTGGACCAAGCATCAGAACACGTGGAACCAAATGTTTGGCATTGAGATCCACTCATCGTATTAGATGCGTGTAGTAGCGGTTCATCTAGATGCTTTATAGGAGAATCAAGGATGCCTTAGGAAAGAAGAGTTAGTGAGACACCAGAAGGGGATTCTTTTCCCCAAGGAGCAGGCAGAAGAATACATGCAGCAAAAAAGAAGTAAAGGGGACATGGATCAGAGAGAAGAGCCAGACTTGTGCTGGATGGCAGACCTCATTGACTGAGCCCTCCCATACGCAAGACTGGGAGATTGTAGAGGGAAGGGTGGTCATGGGACAGAGGATCCGGAGGGATTTTACAGTTCAGAGGGGCAACAGCCAGTTGTCAATGACTAAATGTAATACTTTGAAGAATAAAAATATGCTGAACTGGACTTCAGACAACACATGTGGAAATGCAGAAGCAATGGCAATTAATTCTAATGATGGAATGAGAGGAGATATGGTCCCAGAGACTAAAGGAAGGACATTTTTCTTTTCTTTTCTTTTTTTTTTCTTTTTTTGAGACAGAGTCTTATTCTGTCACCCAGGCTGAGTGTAGTGGTGCATTCTTAGCTCACTGCAACCTCTGCCTCCCGAGTTCAAGTGATTCTCCTGCCTCAGCTTCCGGAGTAGCTGGGACTGCGGGTACATGCCACCATGCCTGGCTAATTTTCTGTATTTCTAGTAGAGGTGAGGTTTCACCATTTTGGCCAGGCTGGTCTCAAACTTCTGACCTTGTGATCCACCTGCGTCAGCCTCCCAAAGTGCTGGGATTACAGGTGCGAACCACCACCCCCGGCCAGGAAGGACATTTTTCAAGGGAAAGGGAAATGGCTAACCATGGGATATGTGGCTGAACAGCATTTAGGAATGAAGTCCCTCAATTTGGGCAATAAGGGAATGAGTGATGTTTTTCAAAAAGTAGTTTCAGTAAAACACCAAGGTTAGAAGCCAATGGTAAGAAGTTAAATAGTGAGAGGAATGGTTCATTCATTCAGCTGTCAACCAAATGTTTATTGAGTCCTGTTCTGGACTGGAAGTGAGAGGAAAAGGGGAAACACCATGGTGGCTAGAGGAGACCGCGGGGTCAAAGCAAGGATTTCCCAGGACGCAGAATTCTGGCAGGTGATGGAAGCCTGCCGAGACAAGAGAGAGGCAAAAGATGGTGAGGAAGAGAGTGATCCAGACAGGAGTTCAAAAAGTGCTTCTTGGCCGGGCGTGGTGTCTCACGCCTGTAATCCCAGCACTTTAGGGGCCGAGGTTAGGAGTTCAAGACTAGCCTAGCCAATATGATGAAACCCTGTCTCTACTAAAAACAAAACAAAACAAAACAAAACAAAAAAACAGGACAGGTATGATGGCACACACCTGTAATCTCAGCTACTCGGGAGGCTGAAGCAGGAGAATCGCTTGAACCTGGGAGTCAGAGGTTGAAGTGAACCGAGATCACGTCACTGCTCTCCAGACTGGGCAACAAGAGGGAGACTCCGTCTCAAAAAAAAAAAAGAAAAAAAAGTCTTCTTTAAAATGAAACATTAAAATGGTCAAATTAGTCTAGTCCTAGGCTTTCCCCTAACGTGTGAGGAACAAGCCCCATCCTGTAAAGAGGGTTCAGTTCCTCTTTCCATTGGTGAGAACCTCTTTCCGAAAGCAAGACCGCAGAGTGGAGTAGCTCAGGTGTACTTTACTTTTCAGCCACTTGGGGGAGACCTTCTACCACAAACCCGCTGCTGGGTAGGGCTCATCGAAGTATGCTCCCAGGCAGTCAAAAATCTGCTATATTCCACTTTCTACCTTAAAAATGTGAAAAGTCCATGGTTTTCTATTCAACCCATAAATAACTGTGCCATTCTTGTATTTCCTTCTGTTCCTGATATCGAAGGATGTAAAAAAAAATCCCTTTACATTGATTCACTGAATAATCATTTAGGTACTGCCCCAAACTGCTGTGTTAGTGCTTGACAGCTTTCGCAGCACATTTATATGCAGTGACTTACTTGGTAGGGAGGATGAGAATTTTAATGTCACTGTCCCGTTCCACATAGCGAAGATATTAGGGCTTTGCTTGCATTCAGACTCTTGGTTCAATGTACTTTCATTAATACGCTTTAGAAATTCCCCCCAAAGTTCTGCCTCTGTTTTTAGAAGCCATCTTCTTTGTTCAGGGATGATATGGGTTAGGGCAGGTCCCCTGGTGCTGGTGCCAACAGGAGGGAGCCTCTGTTCTCTACCTCCTAATGGAAGCTGGTCAGGTTCTTCTCAGTGTGACCCAGTATGAGGACAGTGGGTGGAGGTGACCATAACAGGCAGAGTGAAGAGTGGTGGTCTGCGGGCCTGGGGTGCCTCCAGTAGATCTGCCTGGATGGACACAGGATCAAAGAAAACAGCTGTCACCATAGAATTGCCCTGTGCAGCCTGACCAACATGGCAAAACCCTACTAAAAATACAAAAATTAGCCAGGTGTCGTTGGGCGCCTGTAATCCCAGCTACTCAGGAGGCTGAGGCAGGAGAATCGTTTGAACCTGGGAGGCAGAGGTTGCAGTGAGCCGAGGTCATGCCATTGCACTCCAGCCTGGTGACAGAGCAAGACTCTGCCTCAAAAACAAAAAAAAAAAAAAACAAAAAAAAAAAGAAGAAGAAGAAAAGAAGAACTGCCCTGTGATCCAGCACATTTCTTCACCCTTGTAGCCTGCAGCAGAGCAGAAAGTGAAGCAGGAAATCACACGGGCACACCGACAGTCCCAGGCCTCATTTGCATGTCAGCTAACGTCAGAATGCAGACGTGCATTTTTGACTTAGAGTTTTATTTATTTTTATTTTATTATTACTGTTATTTTTGAGACAGAGTCTTGCTCTGTCACCCAGGCTGGAGTAGAGTGACACGATCATGGTTCACTGCAATGTCTACCCTTTGGGCTCAAGTGATCGTCCCACTTCAGCTTCCCAAGTAGCTGGGGTGCAGGTGCAGGCCACCGTGCCCAGCTAATTCTTTCTTGTCTTGTTATGTTGCACAGGCTGGTCTCCAACTCCTGGGCTCAAGTGATCCTCCTGCCTCAGCCTTCCAAAGTGCTAACATTACAGGTGTGAGCCACTGTACCTGGCAACAGAGTTTTAAAATTAGTTTCTAGCACTGAAAAATCAGGAGATATCACACACATACACAGACACACAGACAGACGGACCACACACACACACACACACACACACAGAGTTTTTTTTTTTTTTTTTTTTTTTGAGATGGAGTTTCACTCTTGTTACCCAGGCTGGAGTGCAATGGCGCGTTCTCGGCTCACCACAACCTCTGCCTCCTGGGTTCAGGCAATTCTCCTGCCTCAGCCTCCTGAGTAGCTGGGATTATAGGCATGTGCCACCATGCCCAGCTAATTTTTTGTATTTTTAGTAGAGATGGGGTTTCACCATGTTGACCAGGTTGGTCTTGATCTCTCGACCTTGTGATCCACCCGCCTCGGCCTCCCAAAGTGCTGGGATTACAGGCTTGAGCCACCGCGCCCGGCTGCTTTTTTTTTTTTAAACCTCTCTGAAAGCAATACTAGTGTACTATTTTCCCATGGATTTGATGAGGTGTGGGCCCCCTAATTTCTCTGTCTTTTCACAACCATTAATTTTATTTATTATTATTAATTTTCTGGCCTCCATATGCAGCTGAGTTTGGAACTTCTGATTGAAGCTGTTCTCCTTGGCCTCCATTCTCTCATTCTGTTTTTTTTTTTTGGAGACAGGGGTTTCACTATGTTGGTCAGGTTGGTCTCGAACTCCTGACCTAGTGATCCACCCACCTCGGCCTTACAAAGTGCTGGGATTACAGGCCTCCATTCTCTCATTCTTGCCTCCATGAAGATACACAGTTAACATGTGGATGTTCATTATTAGCATCTTCTTGGTAGCTGTATTTAGGAGGTTAAGCAGAACTATTTTCTGAATGAACATTTCTATATAAACAGGGAAAACACAAAACCTAGGGGGCTAGTCAGCCAGGTTGTCTAGATGGTAACATGCATTCTTTGGAACAGCTGCGAGAGCGCTTGTTTTCTTTTTTCTTTTTTAAAGATGGGGTTTCACCATGATGGCCAGGCTGGTCTTGAACTCCTGACCTCAAGTGATCCACCCACCTCGGCCTCCCAAAGTGCTAGGATTACAGGTATAAGCCACTGTGCCAGGCGTTTTTTTTTTTTTTTTCCTTTTTTCTTTTTTTAAAGATGGGGGCGAGAATGCTTGCTAAGCGTGCCCTTACAGTTAGGGATTCCCAGCAAAGGGAAACCAAGTCATGCCTTGTATGGAAAGTTCTTTCTTCTGTTGAGGCCAAATTTGCTTCCCAGTCTCAGCCATTTGGTAGTCCTTAGTCTGCCTTTTGAAGTGACAAACTCAATCTTAAAACAAGAGTTTGTGGAAGCCAGAAAGAACTTTGGAATACCTGCCTTTGCATTCTCAGTGGGCAGGTGCCCTGACACTTAGTAATGTGGTTGTGATTACTGTATATCCTCAAAGTTCTGACTTATGCTCACTGGACAGCTTTTTCCTTTGGTCGAATCTCTTTGGAGTTATTTCAGTATGTACATTAAAGTGAATCTTTTGAGGCTAAATTCTGTTTCTTTATTATTGCCATTAGGATTACATATATCATGTAGTGAGTGCGATCTGTGAATGGACAGTGGCCTTTGGTTTTATTTTCTACTTCCTAACGTTCATCCAAGATTTCCAGGTAGGTGTTTATCAATTCAAATGTTTTAAATTGCTGACAATTAGGATTAGTAAAAATTCACTGAAGACATTTTGCATTTTTAAAAAGAGCACTTTCTTTTTATTCTTAATGTGTTTGACAGAAATATGTAAAGATTGTGCAACTTCATTCATTAGCTTCTCTCCAACAGGAGGCACCTTTAACAGCTCTCCCCACAATGAGATTTTCTTTTGTCCTCTGCTGTTTGATGTTAATAGTCATATCCCGATTCCTTTCGTTCCTTTTCCTTTTCTCGCCTCCCCTCTGCTTCCCTTCCCTTCCTTTCCTTCTTTTTTGAGATGGAGTCTTGCTTTGTTGCCCAGGATGGAGTACAATAGTGGGGTCTTGGCTCACTGCAACCTCCACCTCCCGGGTTCAAGTGCTTCTCCTGCCTCAGCCTGCCAAGTAACTGGGATTACAGGCACCTGCCACCACACCTGGCTAACTTTTTGTTTTTAGTAGAGACAGGGTTTTACTATGTTGGCCAGGCTGGTCTTGAACTCCTGACCTCGTGATCTGCCTGCCTCGGCCTCCCAAAGCACTGAGATTACAGGTGTGAGTGTGAGCCACCGCCTTCAGCAATCCTGGTTGTTTTCTTTTAGGGGATCTCTATTACTAGTTCCAAATAATAGAAAGTAAATATATCTTTTAAAAAATAAAAGTGTGTTGTTTAAAAATGTTCCCAAAGCAGAGAAGGTGGGACTATATGAGATTTGTCCACAGGAAAATTTTTACATTTTGAAACAAGTGAATTATTAGCTCAAAGGATATGGAAAGCCAAGAAAATTCTTTAGGACCTGACTCAACCATAGCACAAACTGTAGTGAGATCATTTCTGAGGTGGTACAAAGCTGTTGGAAATGTGATTGTCAACGTTGATATCATCATCAAATGTTGGGATTGTTTAACTTCTTTTATACCTTTTTCTTTTCATTTTTAAAATAGAGTGTCACCCTAAGGATATCCACAGAAATCAATGGTGATATTTGAAGAAAGAAGAATTGGATCTCACTCAGTGAAGGTTGCAGGCCATTTCTAGAAGCGCTACAGAGGACAGACCGGGTTTTGATGTCGCCCTGATTATTGGGATGCATCTGCGGCACGTCCAGGACTTGAATTTCGTTAAGAATTTCTAATAGTTGTACTATTTCTAAAGATATGTTTTCCTAGAGAATGTAGAGCCTTATGACATTGAAGTGATGTTTTTATAATTTTCTAAGTAGATTTTTTTATATTAACAAATTCATATACAGAAAAGACAAGGTGTTACAAAAAATGGAGAGCTCTTATTTTTGTACAGATTCTGTTGTTTTTTTATTTGTGTGTGATTTATGGAAATACACTAAATGAGTAATTTAGGTTCAGTACATTTATTACAAAGTGAATTGGGATATTCATTTGTAAATTTCATTCTTAGTGAGTGAACTGTATAATTTTTTTTATCATGAGAGCATATATAAAATTCAATTTGTAACAATCGTATACCCAAATCATAAAGATTTAGTTAATGTATTAACACTAAGATACTCTGAATTTTAGCTAAGCAAAGTGCTTCTACGGAGAGGCCTTCATGCCATCGTGTACAGTAGCTCTAAGTGAATACAGAAGACCTTGGTTTTTGAAATTCTGCCATCTTATTTCTCCTGCTCATGAGGCCGCCTCTTTTGCTCTTGCTGCTAATTGGCCATTTATAATGGGTGTAATTCCAGGTGTAATGGTTTCAGCAACTCAGGTGAGAACCATCCTTTATTGTTACTGGCACAACTTGATAAATAGTCTGACCCAGAACTGAAACTCACATCTCAAATTCATTTCATGCCAGTAAATGTGACAAAGAGAACAAAGGCCCAAGAGCGAGAAGGGGGCGGCCAAGAAGAACTTCTTGGTGCAGGGTGCTGTTTATTCGTTCCTCCTTTTCACGCCTGTGGCTGGATGTCCCACAACACTATAGGAAATGTGAGTCAGGCCCTTTGCATTAAGCAAGAACTACAGACTCCACCTTTTCACCCAAATCATGAATAACCAATGAAAAGCAAGTTATTCCAGAGGAAGAAGCAGCCCTTGAAATGTTAAGACTTAGGCTTGAAAGCTGAAGAGCAGGAATTCTCTCTTCAAAGACCCTAGAGCAGGCCGGGCGTGGTGGCTCATGCCTGTAATCCAAGCACTTTGGAGGCCAGGGCGAGCAGATCACCTGAGGTTGGTAGTTCAAGACCAGCCTGACCAACATGGTGAAACCCTGTCTTTATTAAAAAAAAAAAAAAAAAAAGACCCTAGAGCATAAACCCATGCGTGGTCAAGTGGGACCAGCCCTCAAGGGCACATGCCAAGAGCAGAGCAGCCCATGGAGACAGCTTCGGAGGGCATGGCATTGTATCTGTTGGGTGAGTACAGGGGTGAGGCTCAGTGGCAGTCAGGCACCTCTGCAATGACAAGCTGCCTTCCCTCTATGTGTGTAGCACATGTTATTAGAACATGTCCCACACCCTTACCACTTGGGCCCTATAAGGCCAACTAGAGAAATTTGGCAATAAAAGGTAAATGTAAGCATGCTTTCTTTAAGATGCATAAAAAATGATTTTCTTCAAATGAATGGAAGAGTTTGACAGAGAAACACCTTTGTAAGCAAAGATTAAGAATGCTGGCTGGGTGTGGTGGCTCACACCTGTAATCCCAGCGCTTTGGGAGGTCTAGGCAGGAGGATCGCTTGAGCCTGGGACTTTGAGACCAGAGTGAGAAACATGGTGAAATCCCACCTCTACAAAAAAAACAAAAACCAAAAATTAGCCAGTTGTGGTGGCATGTGCCTGTAGTCCCAGTTACTTGAAAGGCTGAAGTGGGAGAATCACCTGAGCCCAGGAGGTTGAGGCTGCAGTGAGCCATGCCACTGTCCTCCAGTTTGGGCAACAGAGCAAGACCCCATCTCAAAAATAAACAAACAAACAAATAAATAAAAAGAATGCTAATCATTTCTGGGTTCACTGTGACTTATTGTAATGCTGGAGATCCCCCTTGCAACACTGGAACTGAAAATGATGAAAGCTGTGTCAAGCCTTCATTATCCTGAAGAGGAGGAGAAATGCCACATGCCTTTCCCATGGAACCCGTGGTGGAATGAATACATGGCCGTGCCTTACTTCAGACTGACTTTTGTTCTCAGCACTTCTCACAATGGATTTTCATGCTTCATTTTCACATCTCTCTGCAGTTAGATTGGGAGCTCCTTGAGGGCAGCGTATGTGCCTTAATCTTTTTCTTCGTAATGCCCACAATTAACACTGCCTCCTGGTACACTGCAGGTGCTTAAGCAATACTCACTGAATGTATGAATGAATGAATGAATGAACAAATGAACGAATGACTAAGGCTGTTTGTAGTGCTATAATATATAATGGGATTTGCTCTGGTTTACTAGTTAGTTTCATAATAAACAAATTGTCTGTATCACCTGGTAATGTCGACTGTTTTTCTTTGTATGCTGTAAACATTTCAGTTGTTTGGGCATCACCAATCCATGACAACTATCTTCAACCTGGACAGATACCACAGAAGTTGTTACATGGGCTAGACCAAATGGTACACCTGTCTTGGCAAACTGAGAAGGTCGAAAATCACTCCAGACAATTGTATTCAGCTGATTCCATTCCACCTCTAAAGCTGGTCTTATCCACATTTTGGTATTATTTCTAATTCCAATGAACTTGCATTTCCTTGGAACCCATGACTGAAAGGGTAAAATGAAATATTTACTTATTTTTGTAATTTGTTTTTCTGTTAAATTATAAAATGTTGCCTGGCTACTACTGTGAAGTAGACTATCTAGGAGATGGTTCCATATCCATTTGGACCTTATAAAGGTATGATTATGATTTAAACCTTATGCTTTCATAATGCTTTTTTTTTTTTTTTTTTTTTTTTAAATATTCACCATGATGGCCAGGCTGGTCTTGAACTCCTGACCTCAGGTGATCCACCCACCTCAGCCTCCCAAAGTGCTAGGATTACAGGCGTGAGCCACTGCGCCCAGCTATGCTTTCATAATTCATGTAGTCTTCCACATGGGTGCGATTGGTTCAACTTTGTAGATCTCAAACATTAGCATCAGAAGTTTGTGTCAGTCAAGATTCAGAGTTGACGAGATCAGAAATCCAACAAGAAGGGAAAAAGGGAATCTATACTGCCTCAAGTAACACATTTAGGAGTGGAACTGGCTTAACGGATGGCTGGATCTAAAGGTGCCATTAGAACTCCATCTTCTCTTTCCTCCTCTCAGCTGCCTTCATTCTCAGGCGGGCTTTCCCCTGGCGGAAGTGAGAGGACATCTAGAACCTCCAGACCCACAACCCATCCAGAAAAAGAGGTGGAAAGAAAGGACCTCTCAGCAGTTCCAACCATCAGCTCATGAATTGTCTCTGATTGGCTGGCTTGGATCACATGCCATGGGGAGGGTCTGAGGCTCTGATTGGTCAGACCCGAGTCACCTGTCCACCCCTGGAGCAGGAAGGGGTCAACAGCACCCAAACTCCTGGGCTGATGGTGGCTGAAAGCTGTTTCTCAGAAGAAAGAGGTGGAAGTGGGTCTCTACCGGACAAAAGCAGCAGATTCCGCTGTGCAATTAAAACCCCTTTCCCTTCATATCCCTCCCCGCCCAAAAGCTAACCTAACTTGCTTCACGGTAAACCGAAGTATACTTGCCAATGACCTTTTCGGATTTGAAAGTAAATAAGCCATTTAGGTAATACAGAAACCTTGTGTTAATTCCAAAGTTATATTTTTTAAAGTTCTTGTTTTCTTATTTAGTTTCTCTTATTTAGAATCAGTTTTCCTGACTCCTAATCAAGTGGGGCTTTTTTTTTTTTTTTTTTTTTTTTTTTTTTTTTTTTTTAAAACACTAACACAGAGGATTCCACAGAAATTGCATTTTATAAACCAAATTAAGTGCATCAGTGCTGTGCTGTGTCTGGGTTTCCTAACATCCCTTACATGTGGCATTGTCCCATGTTCACATTTTTACTCAGTTGGAGACGTACTCATCTGGTGTTTGGGCCTGGAATGAGGAAAGGGGAGTGGGAGGAAGATAAGTGGTATCCCATTCTCTCCCACTGCCTGATTCTGGCAAGCCAGTAAGCCCAGCCGCCTCCCCACACACATACTCTTGGTCTGGCTCTGGATGCCCCACATTCTCCAGTCCAGAATGTAATGCATCTGCATCATGTCTGTTGCACAAGAGAGCAACCGCAGCCTCAAGCCCTGGAGGAGAAGCTTCTGACTCTGCTTGGACACTCCCAACAGATTCATATTCTTCTTTTTTTTTTGAGACCAAGTCTTGCTCTTGTCAGCCAGGCTGGAGTGCAATGGCACAATCTCGGCTCACTGCAACCTCCATCTCCCGGGTTCACGTGATTCTCCTGCCTCAGCCTCCCAAGTAGCTGGAATTACAGGTGCCCACCACCACAGCCGGCTAATTTTTGTATTTTTACTAGAGATGAGGGTTCACCATATTGGCCAGGCTGGTCTTGAACTCCTGATCTCAGGTGATCTGCCCACCTTGGCTTCCCAAAGTGTTGGGATTACAGGCGTGAGCCACTGCACCTTGCCCCAGATTCATCTTCTAAAACAAAGGGTAGCAGGATCCCAGATTCATATTGGTGGTGGCAGTGACCTCCAGAGTCCATGCTTGGAAAATGCTGAAGGAAATGCCAACAGTCTGCCAAGTGGTTTAAGACAGGGCGGCGTGGGGTGCCTGGAAAGCCTGTGATTTAGGTAGTTCCTCCGCTGAGTCCTGCTCTGTGCCCCGCCATCCTCAAGGCCAGTTCCACCTCTGGATGACTCAGTGACATGAGCTGATGAAAGTCTCTAACTTCAATAAACTGGAGTTAATATTTCAGATGATTATACCTGTAAGAGTACTGACTGATAACAGACACCCAAGAGTTCCCCTAACATGAAAATACAGTAAACTACTAGCATCGGAGTCATTTTTATTTCATTTTCTTCTTTTGCTTTCTTTTTTTCAGTACAGACTTACCTTCACAGGAAAGATCATTTTTACATAAGTGAATTCAGCTGACCCCACTCACAACCTCCACCCTCTGAACCATTTGTTTTTATTTTATTTCAAAAAATTTGAGTAATATTTTCACAATTCGAAATTCAATATGTAAAGGTATACAGTGAAAAGCCTTTTTGCTTTTCTCCACCTGCATTTACTCGATTCACTCTCTCCTTGAAGATATGCACTTTTTTTTTTTTTTTTTAATAGTCATGGGGTGTCACCATATTGGCCAGGCTGGTCTCAAACTCCTGACCTCAGGTTATCCACCCTGACCAGGTCAGGAGGTGATCCACTCCTGACCTCAGCCTCCCAAAGTGCTGGGATTACAGGTGTGAGCAACCGCACCCAGCCCACTTTTTTTTTTCTTTTATTTTTTTAAGACAGAGTTGCTCTGTCACCCAGGCTGGAGTGCAGTAGCACAATCTCGGCTTACTGCACCTTAGGCCTCCTAGGTTCAAGCAGTTCTTTTTGCCTCGACCTCCTGAGTAGCTGGGATTACAGGCACTCACCACCATGCCTCAGCTAATCTTTGTATATTAGTAGAGATGGAGAGACAGGGTTTCACCATGTTGGCCACGCTGGTCTCAAACTGCTGACCTCAAGTGATCTCCCGCCTTGGCCTCCTAAAGTGCTGGGATTACAGGTGTGAGCCACTATGCTTGGTCTAGATATCCACTTTTTATCAGATTTTTTGAGAATACAAGCTAAAACAAATATTTTAACATGTTTCCCTTTTCATTTTTGCCCCAAATATAGTATACTCTACAAACAGTTTTGAGTCTTACTTTTTTGACTTAACAATGTATCTTGGAGATGTTTCCTTTATCAATACATAGAAATCTCCCTCATTTTTAAGGTTAATTTGCTTTGTTTTATACCTGTGCAGAATTCCACTGTATGGCTCTACCATCATTTATTTAAAAAATTCCCTATTTGGTGAGCAATTACATGGTTTCCAAACTTTTGCAGTTACAAGTGGATGACCCTGTACATACATCA